CCCTGACAAGACGGAATGGAGAACTGGTTGGTCCTATGGAAACAGTTTGTACCTGCACCACAAACACATGCCAGCGGGGACCAGCCCCGGGGTTTATTTAGCAGCAAAAGTCCTTGGCTCCTCTGCTAGAATCACAACAGGCAGCCAAGGGGCACGAGGCCTGGTGAGGCAGGGCTGAGGAATGTGCCCCTTCCCTCCTCCTGCCCTAGGGGGCAGCAGCACTGGGGGACTCACTGGTGCTTTCATGGTGGAGCAGGGTCCGCAGAGGGCTCTCTCACACTTCCTCTGGCCCCCACTGAACTGGATCTGACCCTTCGGATTACCCTGGATTACCCTTTCAGGGCGGGGAGCAGAAGTGATGGTGACTTTACTGTACCTTGACTTCAAAGGAGGAGGAAGCTCTCGGGAGTATGCAAATAGGATGTAAATGAGGAAATCCAGTGGATCAGCCCCTTTAGGACACTCCTAACATCTGCCCACAGCTCAGCCAGGAAATTCCAGCCCATCCCAGCTCAGAGTGGTTTCGTCACAAATTCCGTCCTGAGCGTGGAGGTGAGAGCTGGGTGCCACAGCCTCTCCAGCAGAGTCCAGCCCAGGCTCCAGAGGTCAGGCCCCCAAGGCGGGGAATCCTGCCCTCCCCTTCCAAAATGCACACCCTTCGGGATTTCTCAGTACCCACAGTGTGCTGCCCAGCTGCCCTCTGCATAGTTCCCACACCGATCACAGGCCTCACTTAGAGGGAAACTGGGGAGCCAGAGGAGAGGGATGGTAACTTAACCAGCAAGTTCAGGAAAAACTGGGTTCCAGATCTGACTGTCACCAGCAGCGGCCAAGTCAGTGTAACCTTTTCTGACCTTGTCCATTAGGGGCAAAGGCATTTCCCTCCACCTGCCCGGCAGCGCTCCGGGTGCCTGGCCGCCCCTGCTGCCCCCAGAACCTGCTCCACAGCTGTCTGCTCTCCCGATCAAACCCGTCCCACACTCAGACCAGGGCTCCCATTCGGAACCTTCCCCTGCTTTCCCATCAGGACTCCTTTCCCAACATTTTAACCCTCTCTCTGCCCTGACACCCCAGCCCTTGACCTCTCCCCTTGGTCTTCATCCAGGACTGTTCCCCACTCCCTCCTAGGGTACTCTCCCTACACTGGGGCCCCGGTTGGCTTGGAGCTGCCGAGTGTCTGTTCTTGAGGAGGTGTTCCAGCCCTTTAAAAAGAACCTAACGAAAGCCAGGCAGGGCGGGGGAGGGGAGCTGATTAATCATGGGTTTCCTCCAAATAGCCAGGAATGAGTGGGGCTGGGGCTTGTTGCTGCTCGTAGCCCTGAGAGCTCAGACGTTGCCTTAAAAGGAGAAGGAGCCCAGCGTCCTCCCAGGGCTGGGATTTCTGTTGAGCGAACTCCTCAGCACAAAACAGAGCTGCCTCCTTCTTGCTTATCTGAAAGGGAGTCCAAGCCAACTTCTTTTTGCTTCGAGAACTGGTGGCACATCCTGGTGACCTCTGGAGGTTATTTTTGCTTGTCCTCCTGTCTCTAGGCCTCACTCCACTATTCATCCCTTGTAGCAAGAGGGGTTTAGGTTAGCTATAACAAAGAACTTCTATAAAGCAAAGGTCCACAGGCTTCTAGATGAGAGACCTAAGCAGCAAAAGTTGTTCTTCCCTTTGGGAAAAGCTTTAGGGTTAGGGGAAGCCCACAGGGGTGGTTTGGGAATCCATCACGGAGGCAGAGGAATGGAGGAGATGACCTCTGAAAACCTCTAACAACCTGTGAAATGATGCAGGGACCTAGTAATCAGGCTCAGAGGGAAGAAGCAGGTCCTTTCCCCCATCTGCTCCAGACCTATGGCTTCATGGCGTTGCTCTGTCACTTGGGTTAGGATCCAACAAGCCAAATGCCTTTGATAGGTTCAGATGGCAGAACACAGCATCTTTTCCCTTACCGTGGGCCCTTGGATACTACTTCTAGAAGTCTTGTCTGATTGAACAGAGAAGAGAACATTTTACCACTTTTCATTGCCCAAGAGGGAGAGGAGAAGAATTGTCTCTCCAGAAGTTCCTAGAAAATGAGAACTTGCTGAGGGAAGGCCAAATCCCCTGTATGTGCTGCCCTCAGCCCTCAGCCCACAGTTGCCTAATACCTCACGTAGACCACCACCAAGGTCCTCTCCTTCCTATGACCCGTCACCTGCAGAGTAATCCCGCCAGAGGCCTATGCAAGGCAAAGAGTCTGCAGACCTCCCCAGAGGACAGCACCAAGATGAGATGGAACCTGGGGAAAATTTTTGTAACAGGACATGGAGGATGTGGGTCTGTCAAGCTCACTCCAGCCACTTGCCTAGGAGGGGGCAGAGCCAAGGAGGGCAGGGGTGACTGGCAATGACTGTGCCCTTCACGTGGGATCCACTGTCATGGATTCGGGTACATTTGTTCCATCCCCAAAGCAAGTCCGAGGGGATGTCAACTCAGATGGTTCAAGACCGGTCTTTTGCTAGGTTCCCCCGGGGCTTGCCTGGTGAGACAGACAGCCATTAGACTTTCTGTCTAGAGACCTCCACATGCACCAGCTCAAGCTCCAGGCTAGGGGCAGGGACTCCAGGCTCTGCAACTCTGCTTTAGTGGACTGTCTCCCAAGCCTTAGCTGAAGTCCTGAAGGCACTGACAGCCTCAGGGTCCAAGCTCATTAGAAGCCAGCATTTTTAGCTTGGCTCTGGACTACAGCCTGCTTCTTGTTCCTTGTGGATCAGGTTATATTTAGTAGGAAAACATCGGGGAACTCTGTGG